ATCTTTATTGATTTCAGAGAAAGGAAAGGAGAGGGAGAGAGAGATAGAAACATCAATGATGAGAGAGTCATTGACCGAGCCCACAACCCGGGCATGTGCCCCGACCGGGAATCGAACCCCGATCCCCTGGATCCTAGGTCGACGCTCAACCGCTAAGCCACACCCGGCTGGGCTAAATTTTTTTTTTTAAATATATCTTTATTGATTTCAGAGAGAGGAAAAGAGAGGGAGAGAGAGAGATGGAAACATCAATGATGAGAGAGTCATTGATCGGCTGCCTCCTGCACGCCCTCTACTGGGGGTGGAGCCTGCAACCCGGGCATGTGTCCTGACCGGGAATCAAACCCTGACCTCCTGGTTCATGGGTTGACACTCGACTGCTGAGCCACCCCGGTGGGGCTTATTTTCCAACGCCTCTGTTGATTTTTTTCTAGTCAGTGTGTGCACATTTTGTGATATTTTCACCTAGCCTTGTTTCATAGTGGCTCGCACCAGTATTGTACATTCTAAATAACTGTTGTTTTGACAGTCGGCTAATGCATAATGACCACTTCGTGACTCACTTTGCCATCTTCTGTAACCTGCTGAGTCTGTTGACTGTGATGCTCTTGCTGATTTTATGACTCTTCCCTCCCTCTCAGATTCAGGCTTCTACAGGGGAAACCAAGTACGCTGGTACCTTGGACTGTGCGAAGAAGCTGTACCAGGAGTCTGGGATCCGAGGCATCTACAAGGGCACTGTACTCACCCTCATGAGAGGTAAACTTTGAGGCCCTCCCCCTGAGGTCACCTTGGGGGGCGCTCACCCGAGGTGGATTTGCCATATTAGCCTTGGCACCATACACGCCGCAGCTCTGACAAGCTGGAACTGTGCGGCCTGGTTTTAGGCAGTCTTACCTCTGGCCGACATGGACACAGATGAAGGTGGGGCTACCTTCCATCCTTCTGGTAGGCTGATCCTCAAGGGTAGAAGTGATGACAGTGACAATTGGAAGGGAATGGCAAGTAGATAGAAACTGTGGCTGCAGGGCTGTGTGGGAAGAAAGAATGACTCAGGAACAGTGGGGCTCTCCCTGGTTTCGAGAGGCATGTTCTGCTGGGTGGCAATAGGAGAGGCAGAGATGGCCCCACCCTTGTCCTGAGATGGTAGCTTGGAGGAAGGCCATATGCTCGCTGTGGTTATAACTGTTTGGAGTGGGCATGTCTGTGGGGACCATGCAGAGGGGACTTTGAATGTGAAATGATGTCCTGTGTGTTTACACTCACTCACACCAGCGTTTGCCCCAGAGCAGCATCTGGTTACTGCATAGCAATTTTTGCAAATAGGATGGGCTGCTGAGGAGCTTCTTAGGAATCCTTGAAGAATGTGCCAAGCTCGGCTCTGCTGAGTTCAGGAAATCTGTGAGGATTTTATATCATTGAATTCACATCTCTCTTGTCACTAACAGATGTTCCAGCCAGTGGGATGTATTTCATGACATATGAATGGCTGAAAAATATCTTAACTCCAGAGGGAAAGAGGTGAGGAGAACAGAAGAACTTAGAAGCCACTTGGCTCAGTCAGGGGTAGGTTGCCCTTTCCTGTGAGTGGGTCTGGAGGCAGAAGTGGGACTTGCCGCTGGCTTCATGTCCCCTTTCCACTCTGTGTCTCACCCAGTAGAGCAAGTGTTTAAAACAAGTGCACGAAATCTCCTCCAAGGAGTGGCAGCTGCCACATCACAGGAGCCCTGGCCTTGGACCTTCTCACTCTAGCCACTTTCTCCCTCTCTCTGTCTGCCACAGCAGGGATGGTCAGAATGCCATTCTTACAACCTTTGTCTGACTTTGGTTGGTATTCTGCAGTGTCAGTGAGCTCAGCGTGCCTCGGATCCTGGTGGCCGGGGGCGTTGCAGGGATCTTCAACTGGGCTGTGGCAATCCCCCCAGATGTGCTGAAGTCCCGCTTCCAGACTGGTTAGTGGAGGGTAGTGGGGTGGATGGTGTGGGGTGGGTCCTGGAACTGGCTGCCCCTGGGGTGCAGAGCTCTTAAGGCCTGGGGGATGCTCATTCTCCACAGCACACCCAGCGCCTGTCTGACTAGCATTTTCCCTTGCAGTCATTTGTGTTCTAGAACCCTAGGCTCATTTTCTTGTTGGCCCGAGTGCAAAGTAAATGACATAAGTCAAATCAACTCTGCTTCCCCCATATTAGCAGAAGGACCGTTTCATTGTTCATCCCTCTTCTCCACTCCCTCGGCACCAGTAATCCAGACATTTGTGTCTGTTTGTCCCAAGGTGAACTATGTTGTCTGTGGACTGGTCCCAGATGACCTGCAAGGTGTCCTCTCCCTGGTGCTGTGACCCTGCAGGAAGACTTGACTACAAGATTGTCCTCATGTGGGTCACCATGGTCAGGTCAGGAAGCTTCCTGAAGACTTAACAGTTGGGTTCTGCCCACAGCACCTCCTGGAAAATATCCTAATGGTTTCAAAGATGTGCTGAGGGAGCTGATCCAGCATGAAGGAGTCACATCCTTGTACAAAGGGTTCAATGCAGTGATGATCAGAGCCTTCCCAGCCAATGCGGTGAGTGGCTGGCAGGAGCTATGCTTTCCTTTTGGGGTCCAGAACAGGGTACAGGGGGGCTGACTTTTTAAAAAAATGTTTTTATTGACTTTAGAGAGGAAGTGAGAGGAGGAGCGAGCGAGAGAGAAACATTGATTGGCTGCCTCCTGCTCACCGCCCTACTGGGGATCTATCCCACAACCTGAGCATGTGCCCTGACCAGGAATCAAACTGGCAACCTTTTGGTGCATGAGATGATGCTCAGTCAACTGAGCCACACCGTCCAGGGCCAGGGGGGCTGACTTTTGCTTGCTCCTAGGATTGGACTGGGGGCTCAGGTTTCCCAAAACCCCACCCTCAGCCAGAGCCTTCTCCCTTTCTTGAAGATGCTAGGACAATTTGCCTTTGTGATTCTCTGAGGAGAGGGGCTTTGATTACCTGACCTGGCCATCAGAAGTGGGCAGTTGTGGGACATGCATTTCCTTCCCCTCTTGGGAATGAGAAAACACAGCTTGATTCCCTGACCTGGGTTGGGAGTGAGGTTGGGGAGGGGTTCTGGTCCTGGCAGGGCCAGCCAAGTGTGGCGCTGGGGTCTCTATGAATAGTAACAACTCCTGCTGGCTTTTCTCTTCTTCCAAACCCTTCTCAGGCCTGTTTCCTTGGCTTTGAAGTTGCCATGAAGTTCCTTAATTGGGTTACCCCTAACTTGTGAGGCTGAAGGCTGCTCAAGGCTTCTGGATGCTGGAAACTTACCGAAGAGGAGCAATAGGCAGGACTAGGCTGTCCTGAAGGGTGAGGGGAGGGGGATGGTGGGATCAGAGCTCTGTGCATGGACTTGTTGAGACCATTTGCCTTAATGACATCCTCCGCCTGGTATAACTTGGTGTGCCATTTTGAAAAACTTGAATTCACTCTTGTCAGTTTAAGGGATCTCAGGGGGATTTGGAGATGGAGTAAGTAGCTTCCAGACCAGATACCACCTGTGGCCAGAGTATGTCTATTGATTGGTTGACTACTGGCCCTACTGTACCCAAAATACTGGTCTCAAAAGAGGAAATCTCAGCCTTTCACTGGAGGTACTATGCATGTTTACAGCCAGCTGACTAGGAGCTGGGGTCTTCGTTGATCCCTAGCCAGGAACACCCACCAGATTCCCAGGGTATCATCCTGTTCTGACATGCACAGGGAGGTATGGACTTGAGACCCACGTTGTCTGTCAAGTGGGATGAGCAAATGTGCAGGGGCAGGTAGCCTGATAACATGAGGGGTTTGTGTGTGTGTGTGTGTGTATTTTTAAGGCATGCAGGTAATCAAAATTGAAACTAGAGTAGCCTAATTTCCCAGAAGGTAGAGAGCTTTCCCTCCTACACAGTGAGGAGGGTTTTGAATTGATAGTCCCAGCCTGCCGGGATAAATGAGAAAGCCCACGGTGTAGGAAGGCTCTCTCTGCACACTCTTTTCTCACAAAAACCTTGTTTTAACAGAAAACAATAAAGATTGTTTTTAATTTTTGCATTGTGTGAGATTTTTTTGATTCTGGGTCATGTCACAGGCAGCCAGCCCATGGCCTTGGTAGAGGCTGTCGGGGATCCAGTACCCTTCCCTGGTTGTTTCAGGCTCCAGCAGGAGAAAGGGGGGAAAGTCTTGGCCAGGCCAGCCTTCCCTGACTGCTCCAGCCCCAGCTGCTTGAGGCAGAGTGGGGTGGGGCAGGGCCCGTGGATTGATAACTGTTTTTATAACCCTCAGGGCAAGCCTGGCATGCAGGCCCCACAGACTCAGCCTGCAGCTTCTCTAGTCATTCCTTAGCCTCTCTGCACTCAGCCACATGGGTGTCTGAGCTAACAGAGAATCACTTGTTCTGAAAGGCCAAAAACAGCCCTGAGTTTTTAGATGGGCTTTGGATTGCTGTGTGATCTGATGTCACCAGCCTGGCTTTACTCATCAGGCTGAGGCTGATGCCCAGGTGCTGCCCCAGGAGGTGAGGGGGTTGGAGAGTCACAAGCTAGTCTGTCCTTGCCTGCTGGAGGGTGAGGCTGGGGGAGCTGCGCTTCTCTGGCAATATCCTATCTGGCAGTCACAGATCTGCTGCACTGGCACTTCCCTTCTCCCTGCAGCCTCACAGAGACCCTTGGACTTTGGCTTTAGAGCCACCATTCTATGTAAATGGGTGAGTGGGGCAAGGATCCACACCCATCTGGGAGTAGGTGTGCCCTACCTGGCAGGAAGCTGAGGATTTGGGAGTTTAAGGAAGGAGGCTCTGTTCCTGGGAAGATATTTCTGGATGAGCAGATAGGAATTATGTTTTAGAGATGAAAATTGTGTGCCCTCTGCCTGGGAAGATTTAGTGTTAATCCTGCCCCTCTCATGCTGTGGGGTGTTTCTGTTTAATGTCTTTGATTTGGGGATGGCCACATATGTATCTCTTGAAGCTCTTCTCAGCACCACCCAGTTTTTGAGACAGTGCTGAACCCTCAGCCTTTGCTAGGAAACCCCTGGGAGCACATTTGCATTCCAGTGAAATGCCAGCCATTCCCATGGCTCAGGAACACTTTTACAGTCTGTGCTTATGGATAACTTGCCCTTTGAAACAGCTTCTATTTTAAAATGAAATGTTTTGGTTCCTTGATGTTAGTGGTGGTAGATTCTTGTATTCCTTTGGGTCTTCAATAGATGTTAAGTCAAATAGGGAGGCCCCTAGAAGCATATTTCTGAAGGGAGCAGAGCAGATGGTGAGTAACTCCCTCCTGGATGGCACTTCCTCTTTATGATGCACTTTGAAATGCCACCTGTTCTCATATATCTCCTTTCTCCCTGATAGAGGTAAGAGTGGGGGAGAGATTGGGGCCACCCACAGCAATTTCTGTGACTGTCACAGACAGCCTTAAGTAGAAGCCAGACAGTGTTTGTTAAAACAACCAGCCGGTGATAGCAGCCTCACCCGGCACAAAGCAGAGTATAACTCGGTCAAAGGTGAAGGACAGAGGGCAGGTTGTTGCAACAGCGGCCTGTTGGAAGCAACAGTAGCACCACTGCTGCTGTAAGGTCAGACCATCCCTACCCACAGTTCTTTTGAGGCTGGAACCGCCTGTGCTCTTTCTAAGCTTGCCAGGGGTTTGTTCTCATGTCTTTATCTCCATGTAATGCAATGTTTAGGGAGAAGGGATTTGTACCCCCACTTTCAGGTGTGGAAGTCAAGGCTCAGACAGGGTAAACTGATCTACCAAGATCAGTGGCAAGTTGCTAACAGAGTAGGGATAACAGAGTGGTGTCTGGATATCCACGGGCCTGATGAAAGGCTTGTGATGCTATCAAAGGCTGCCCCAAGAGGCCTGTCTATACTGCAGGGTCAAAGCCCAGGCAAGTGGCCTGTGAATCAGGCCAGGGGTGACACACAGAGTCCCAGCAGGCACTGGCAAGGTCCCAGGGCCAGGCAATCCCAGAGGGCCCGTTTTCTGCTTTCTCTGCTCTGGGCAGCATTCAGGCCTATGGCTCTCCAGCTAGGCTCCCCCTTGCTTCCCAGGTTCTGTCCTTGTCCTGAGGGGTCTCAGAGGTAGACTATGTCCACTGCAGAGACGGACACTTTCTTGGGACACAGTATCCTGGGGAGGGGTGTAACACGCAGGTACAGGAATAGGTGACCCAGGAATTGAGTACTCCCTGGAGCAGGACACTTGTTAAAATAAACTAGACTTCCCGGACCCAACTAATGCAGTGGCCTCATGGAGGAGGCATTGTGGATGCTGAAGAGGGCAGAAGAAACATAACCTGCTTCCCCAATCCCTTCTGCCCCCAAGAGGCTCATGAACACTTCTAAGACAAAATAGAAACTAAGGGTGGTAGATACTAAATGAGCTTGGACCAGGGGTCTAGCATGCAGAAGTGGTCAGGTGAGCAACAGGACACAGAAGATGAGTGCAGGCCTGGAGTGGCTTAGAGAAGTGACCCCCTTGGACAGAGAAGAAGGAGATGTTCCTGCTAGAGCTGTGTCCCCCCAACCCCCAAAGTAGGCAGAGGGTGCTAGAGGACAGAAGGTGCGTAAATTAGGAGGTCTGGGCCAAGATCAGGCTTCCAGAGCAGTCTGGAGGAGTTTGGGCATCTCTACTTCCTGGAAAGAAAGAAAAAAAAAATCTTTTAAGTAATGATCCCATCAAGAGTAAATAAAATTTACTGTTTCATTGGAAATTGCAGCTGGTACTCTACCCATGCTCATTTTCACCAGACCCACTACTATGGGGCTAAACATGTGCCCCACCTGTGTTACTCTGTATCCATAGTCTGAAATATCTCTGAGAATTGGTCCCACTGTGTCCATGTCTGCCTGTGGTTGGTGTGTGGCAGTCTATGCAAGATTGATTGCTTTCTGGGTAGTAGGTTTGGAGTCCAGCTCCTGTCAGGGCTCTGGGGCCTCCTCTTCTGTATCATGGGCCCTATATTTCTCTTACTTTGGGGGACCTCTACTCCTGGCCTTTTCCACCCACCATCACTTGCAGCTCTTCTGTGCTCCTGGCTGCCTGTGTTTTTTTGTTGTTGTCATGGTAACCCCCGTGGTGCAGCTGGAAAGGCTTGAATGAAGGCAGTCCTAGCAGGGTGAGGGTAGAATACCTGGGGCTCAGGTGCCTGGTATTCTCTTTTACTCCAGGGCCCTCTTCTTTGCCAGCTCAACTGGGCATTCATGAAGACCCTTGGTACTCTACTTCCTACTGAAGGGTTTCCCAGAAGGGGCAGAGAGGATCCCTGCTCTGGGGACCAGATGCTAAGGGAGGGGAACCAAGTCAGGCCTGGAGGCTGTCTGTCTATTCTTATTCTGAGGCTAGTCTGTGGTGACAGATAAAGAGCCTCATTCCCTCCAGGTCCAAGGATGCCTTTGCATTAATGCCGTGTTTGCTGGATGGATGGATGACCAAGCTGCGGGGCACCTGAGAACAACCCAGGCAAGCCAGCCTGCTTCTGGCAGAGGCTGATGTGTGTTGCTTAGAGCAACTGTTAGAACCCACCCCCACCCAGCTCATCAACCCTAGAGCAGCCTCCCTCTACCCTACTTTATAATTGAGGTCAAAGTCCTAACTGTACAGGTGCCTGTCCCCCCTTAAAACATATAAAGCCTGACAAATGGGCAAACCAGAGAGTGGAGTTATGATTTTGCCTTTCCAAAGGGTTGGTTGTAGGATTGTTTGAAGTGAGGGCAGATCCTCAGGTGTGGCAGTGTAGTGGGAGTCACACCCAGGATGTGGGCTGACTCCTGGAAAACTTGGAAGAGTTGGTCCACCCAATAGCAGAGAAGAGTTGAGGAACCTTGCCCCTCCAGCCTCTCACTGCCTGTCCTTAGTGAAGTCTTCGTATTCTGAGATCAGAAGCACACCTTTGAAGCAAAGGATCCTAATTCTGAGACTGTGAGGTCAGGAGAGCAGTTTAATTGGCTCTGCTTGCTGTAAGGAAATTTATTCATTCATTCATTCAGTTAATCTTCTCCAAGAGTGTGCAGTAAGGACCTAGCAAGCAACAAGTTGGACACTACCCCTCCCCTCACAAAGCTAATGGTCAAAGACTCCTTCCTGGGGCCAAGGAATTTGACTAGGGAGATCTGCTGTTTGGATTCACAGGCCTGCCTGGCCTAGAGCTTGGGTGGCTTCTGCACCAGCAGCACTGAGCTTCTGGGGGTGTGCCAAGTGAATATGAGAGGTCCTAGTGAGGATTTTAATTAATATTGGGTAATTGCGAGGTGGAGCTTAACCATCTCAAACCAAATGCCTTTCAGGTTTCCAAGCCTAGAGCTAGTTGCTTTCTGGTGGGGCCCAGCAAAGAGAGGGAGGACTCTGTCCTATGTCCACTGGGCCTTTGGTCAGTGCCTAGACTGTGGCAAGGACATCTCAGGAAGGTCTTCACCTTTTTTCTATTTCCCTTCCAACCTGGTGTGGGTGAAAGGGGATGACTTGGGAAATAGATTGACCTCTCCCGTTTGCCTAGGCTCCCTCCCCAGGGGCAATGGATAACACTGCCTTGTGGTCTGCTGAACCCCATCCAAGCAGTGCTGGCCCAGGACCCAGGGTGGAGTGTGGGGAGAGAAAGGACGCGCAGTCCTAGTCCTGGGAATCCTGGTGGGAGTGCTCCAGGGCAACAGGCACAGAGGTCGTTCCTGTAGTGGCCTATTCCCTTCTCTCAAGGTACATGTCTGGCCTTCCAGGCTTTTTGTCTGCTTGTGGCTCCCACCTCACTATGTCATTGAAACTCCTGCTCCCTACAAGGGCTTCCCCGTTTGACATCTCACAGACCTGCCAGACTTCTGAGCGTCCTGTGGTCACTGCACCATCCCACCCAGCGGCCAGGGGATCCCGTCCCTACCAGGCCTCTGCTCTCACCTTTGCTATGCTCAGATGGCTTTCCTCCAGGTCCTAAGTCGGATCAACGTCCAGGCCTGGGCGTCAACTTGAATGTCACCCCCTCAAGTGGGCCCTCTAGGTCTCCACCAGGCCAGCACCACGCCGAGGCGGTAATGGGTCCCCGGGGCTGTGTCCCCGGCGCCCGGTGAGTGCTGGCAAGCGGGAGGCTCTGGGCGCGCGCGGAAAGAAGTGAAAGGTCTCCGGGAGAGTAGGTGGGAGGCGCCGGCGACTCTGCGGAGCTGGTGGAGCGCTCCCGGGGCGCCCCAACCCGGGACCCGCCGGGCTGGGCGGCGCACGCGCACGCGC